ATACCTCAACGCACGCTCAAACATGCCTGCTGCATGTCCTGGCCCTTGCACACAAAACCTCTTTTACCCTCTCCCACCATCCTTTCCTACAATGATCTTTACCCCTCCTCCCCTCCACTAGAGATTTATACACCCTCCAAGTCAACCTATTTTGCACCATCCTCTCTAAATGACCAAGCCATTTGTCGAATTGATATAACCACTTTCATTTTATAAAATTATTATAATCAAAACTAAGTGCTAAACATGGAAGGGTCACATTAGCAATAGCCAAAAACTATAAATATGGCACAAAACTATAAATATGACAAATTCACTTAAGAGATGAATCAATAGCACTAGGATGAAGAATAAGGACCATACCTACTGAGAGTCTGGGGATTATCTTCCCTATGTTGGAAAGGAAATATTGTATAGTATTTCAGAATTAAGAACTATTAAGAATAATAGCAATAGAATCAATCTGAGTGCTAAAACTGTAAGGGTCAGACCTATAAGAAACAGAAAAGTAAATGTATATATAACTAAAGGTAAGACTAAGTACAGAGGTAAAATCAAATTCAAATGAAGATACATTTTTTTATTTTATAAAATATCTCAAAGTTAAATCTTGGTGGTAAGCTGGTTATAACAAGGACTTAAAAATAGTCCCTATATAGTGGCTATCCTTATCCCTACCATGGTCATTACTGATACTGCACAACAAAGCAAAGAAATACATCTTTGCTTTATGGGTTAGTAATGTAATATCTCTAGGGCACAATTAACACAGCACTTTAGATTTTGATGCTACTTACAAGTACATGCCTGTTAATGAATTACAAGCACAAAGATAAATTTGTTTAATATTGTACAGTACAATGCTGGTTTGGGTGACTGTAGGAATATTCAACCTCTGGTAAAAAGAATAGGAGACATTAAAGATTAACAATGAATATTCTTTAAAAAATAAGATTTGGCAGAATATAATTTTGATTCAAAATACAGTATGCAAATTTATAGATTGTAGTACAGTATTTTATTGACAGTGCTCCTTATTTATTATCAAACATATAAAAAACTGCCCTTTTCACAAGAGAGCAAATAACACAACAGCATTTTTCCTCTCAAATGATAGTAGAGAAAACAGCAGTATACTTAAACTATCCTCACCAAAGTGACAAGCCACAACCTGCTACTTCCCCACTTAATGATAAGTTTATATATACACAACAGTGGGGGTCAATGTAGCATAAGTGAACATCACTAATCAACTCTCATTCCTGGTTTTGTATCACACACACACACACACACATTCGCACAAAAAAAAATCCTTAGGGTCCTGTCTGTACAGTTGCAACATTCCTGCAAGGAACAGCATGAATGACATACAATACACAGATACAGTATGGGATCATATTCCAGAAATGAAAACCAGCCCCTAACCCTATATAGCGAAACTGCAAAGCTAAGTTTGCTGTTTTTTACGTTAATTTCTTTGCCTTCTGGTACAAAACGTCTACAACTTTCTCCATTGCCTTAATGGTATCAAGAGCATGCTCATAAGTTTTATCCTTGGTAACAGGGTCCCAAACAATCAATACTCCAGCACCCTGATCAAGAATACCAGTCAATTTTGAATCTAAAATCATCTGAGAGAGTTTACGCTCAACAGCATCCTGTTGTAAACCTATGGTTTCACTAACATAAGCTACCTGTACCTTACTGTATGGCTCGATGATTCTGCACAAATTCTGCTCTAACATATTATCATATAGTGTGTTTAAATGAGCTTTCACAATCATGTCTCCTTCCAGTTCATCCTTATACTTATTAAGTGTTGTTTTAAAGTCAGCCAAAGACCGCTTACTGCTTGCCGAAGCAATGCCTTTCATTGCATCCACGTGACTTCCACTGTGCCGCAATGCCAACTTCCCACTTACAATGTTGTGGACATCCTCTGGACACTGGAGCATGATTTTTGATAGCAACATGTATTTTAATGCAGTAAGTGCCTTTGGGCTGTCAATACTATCGTATCCTTCAAATGCTTCGTAATAATATGAAAAAGCTGTCTTAAAATCTTTTTCTTCTGCAGCATGAAGAATGCCAGATTGCAGATCGAGAGCAGCTTGAAGCTTTGGGGGACAATATAGAGCATTTGCAGTTGTACGTGCTGAAGTTAAGGCAGCACGGGCTTTAGGCAAGTTACCCAATGCATGATATGTTTTACTTTCCCATAACTGTACTTCTACCAGAAGGTTCTTGTCATCTAATTTTTTCAGTTCTTTTAAGAGCTGAGAACCTAAAGCAAGGGCATCTGTGTACTGCTGTGTGTCATAAAAAAGAGCCACCAATCTGGCTTCTAATGACTGTCGTAGGAAGGTACGCCGCTCAATTTTTGACCATTCAATATTGTCCCTGCACACTTCGACTTCTAAACCTGTTGTAGCTTCCATGTCAAGGAACATATCTACCATCGTCCTCACTAGCTTGGCAGCTTTGGCTTTGGAGATCTGGGAAAGAAAAGGTCGAGTGTCCTTGATAAGCTGAGCCAACTGGTGGGCCTGCCCTGCTTTCTTGTACTGCTCAGCCAGTGACATGATTCCTGCCTCTCTTGTTGCCACATCATCTTCCTCCTCAGAGTCTGTAAAGGAATTACTTTGTTAGCAAAACAGTAAACCACTACTGTCCCTTAGTTTAAGCTTATATTTTAGAGAATTAACCATTAATGAGACGTATCTGTTACAATACCTTTATTCACTGCTAGGTATGAACAACTGCTTTTAGGTCATGTTAAGTGAATGGATGGCAGTGGAAAATTGTGAACTTTGTGCATACTGATTTACTTACTCATAATCACTTAAGATCCTGAAAACTTCTAAAGCTCTCAAAATTATAGAAGTAAACTGTGTAACACAAGATGACTTATTCATCCAGTGACATCTACTCTACAATACTCTCTTGATTCATTAGAACCAAGCTGATTGATCATGTGTACACCAGAAACTGCCAATGGTTTAATATCTATATTCACGGCAGGGTTTGCCAAAAATGTAAAAATGGCATGGAAATCAGGAGAGTAGTCCATTATCTAAGCATCCATAAACATCATGGGGGAGGAGAGGGGAAGAGGAAAAGAAATATTCCAATTACTGTATAACTCTCACTTTATCAAAATCAATTTAACTGATTTTAGAAATATGGAATAAAATCTGCTGGGTAAACTACTTCAGAAACAACGAACAAAGTATGATGGTTACAGAATAGTCCATTATTGTTAGGATCACGGTAAAACAATCTCATCTCTATTAACCACAATCACCTTCAGTGGCCACATATAGGTGAACATCCATATGTTCAAGCACTGACAGTTCCATTAAATCATAGCTCCTTCACTATATCTCATTTCTACCATGCAAATCGCAAGAGTGACTTTCCAGAGAGCCATCTTATATCCACAATCCTACATAGAGGCCTATCTCAGATTGGGCCTCGAGAAATACTTTACATCATAAAAACAATAAAATTCTTCCCCAGGTGATATGACAGCTACCAGAATCCTGTCTCTTTTATCAGTAAAGTTTATTTAACTGATAAAAACAAAAAATTCTTAGTAGTTTACTGTATTTCAGATTCAAATTTCAAGAACAAGGAAATATCCACCATTTAAACGAAAGAAAATGTAGGACTCTATGTCTATAGACTCTTGGGAAATCTCCAACATGAAGTGAAGGGGAAAGGGGGTGCAACATGACTAAAGTGTAAAACTATATGAATGAAATAAGCAGAGGATATAGACAGGGTGCTGAAAATATTAAAATGAAGATAACATTTGCAATTGATTTAACAATGGAGAAATTAAGTTTAAGATTAAGAAAGATAAACAGGTTTGGAAAAAAAGGAAAAAAGGTGAATGTAAGGGAGTGGAATAAGTTGCTGAGTAGCATCAATGAATCAAGAAAACTTTGAATTAACCCTTAAGAATGTCAAGCAGTGTCCTATTTCAATTGGGGACTTTGTCTTTTTCCCCAGGAGTAAACCCACAACAGCCAACTAACTACTAGGTACCTATTTATTACTAAACATGGATAGCAAGTGCATGGACACTTTCTCATTTATTTCAACACACACGGAATCAAACCTGGGTCCTTTCAGTTGAGAGCTGAACATTCTAATAAGCAGTCACCTAGTTTGTAGTTAAAAAAAAAATGAAAAGGCACATGCATAAATAAACTAGCTGTAGTAGATGGGATTTGTTTTTATATGGACTGGTAGGACTACTGCAGTATTCTTGTATTAACCTATATTTGCAATTCTTCAACTTGCTCAAAATTATGACCTTATGCTATGCATACAGTGGGGTTAAAATGACATTTTAATGGCACCATATGAATATCATGAAAGATTACTAGTTTTGAGATAGAGAAAAATAACAGTCTCAGTTTCAATAACCCAGACACCAAAGTAGCAAGATACTGTACACAGAAATGGAGAAACTTGCCTATAGAAAAATTGAAAAAAAGAAGTAAGGGGCTATATAGTTCAGCCTCTGAGGCCCTCTTCAGCAAATGATTACAAGAGTTAGGTTTGGCTCATAAAAAGAACATTCTCCCATTTCACATGACAGTTTTTAGCACAATGATACCTGGAGTATACCTGGAGAGCATTTCAGGGATCAATGCCCCTGCACTTTCATGCAAAGTCTATCCCTCTGAAAAATCACAATGAATAGATTTATATATTATTATTGTTATTATTATTACTGTAACAGTTACTTATTGATGGAGTTTTCTGACGTTTGAAATTTTTAGCTACATCATGCTTATAAATATAAGAATAGAAATTTAATCAAAAATTTTCTCTAAATGCTTTTTAAGGAATATTACAATCATAAAAAGCAATAAACCCATAGGTAAAAGATGGGGAGGATTGGGGTTAATTTACATATCTGCTATTTCTGGTAATATTCAATAAGCTGACTTTATATAAAAAAAATACACTGCACCACAGACAAAGGTTTTCAGTCAAGTTATAATTTGTAAATTACTACATCAGAGAGATCTAAATAATTTGCAAATTTTGTGTGAAGTTACTTCTAAAACCTAATTCTCATGCCTTTACAGGAATCTTTCAATAGCCATAAAATATTCTGAGAATATTAAATCATTCTCCATAATTAATGGAAGGACTAAATACGGTAAATTTAAAGCAAGTTTCTGCCTAGCGTTTACAAACAAAAAATTTAGGACACGACATTGACCATAGGAAACATTTCCCACTATCTCACCAGCTGGTAATAGGACCATGAATTAAAACTTATTCCCACTACGCTTCACCCATTAACTTTCCCTATATAATTACCAATTGGAAAACAAGCAGATAATACCAGAATTACTCATTACATCTCGCACACTAACTCAGCAGGAGCTGGAGAATGAATCAGCAAAGTAAAGAGGCGCAAACATAAACATATATCAATACCCATCATTAACGCTAATTCCTCGGTCAGCATCCAGCTCCTGGGCTTCCCCATGCTATCACCTGTCCTACTTACCTATATTATTCAAGGTGGAGGCATCTATTTCCATTTTAGACAGGGAAATCGCCGGAGCCCTTTCAACGAGGGTAGCAGCTGCCATTGCTTTGACGTAACTGTTCAAACATCAGCACAGAGACAAGCGCCTCACTCCCGCCTCTCATTTATAATCCCAAAAATACATGTATTCCCTGTAAATTCGATATCACAGTATACCTTATAATATAAAATATACTGTACTCTTTTTCCGTGAATTGTGTGAATGAATATCTGAGTACAGAATTGCCTCAGTTCCTTTGTTCAAAATACGAGCGACATGACTAGAGATTTGCTATGGCGGGGAGTGGAATATCTTTATAATAGTGCTATTTATAGACCAACATGGTGCATCCTTTCACATTGTTGTATAATGTGCATAAAATAAATTACAGGTCAATAGTTGTGAAATATTCAGTTGTAGCTCTGTAACGCGTTTAATCAGCATCTTAAACCCATGTAATACATTAATTTGGGACTAAGGTTGAAAAACATGTTGACGAACTAATAAAAAGATGCTGTGGCAGAATGGTAACCTTTGTCGAGGGAAAACGTTTCCCATGAAGTCTTGAGACAGCTTGGTCACCAAGCTTTGTTCCTGAAGTGATTGCTCTGGGTATAACATTAAGTTTAATGGTTTTGAGTAGCCCACAGAGTATCTTAAACAGTCAGTGGTACACAGTACCTACAAGTTAATGTGTAAGACACATGCGAAGCACTTAGGTACCTTTACTAGCGAAAAGTTTCGCCTTCAGGCTTCATTAGTAGAATATAGAGGTGATTAAAATGCTGGAGATGTTACAAGTAGAGATGTGATAGTTCCTTCAGCCTTGACGATGGTTAATCTCTTAGTCTAAAGGATTAGGCTAGGTATGATTTGTCAAGAAACAGGACAAGTGTTTCCCGAAATGCCTAGCCATTCTAGTTCTAGTGGTACACTCTGTAATCATTATTTTACTACATGTAAACCACACAATAACCAAATTCTGTAAACTCAGCATTGTAATCCTTATAGAGAATAAACTTTGAATATGATGACCCGCCACTGGAGCTTTTGCTCATCTGATCGAGAACTTCCGCTAGCTTACGGTCCACTCCTTTAAAAATTAAGGTTATTATTCTCTTGACCTAAACATGAAGCTAGAGACTTATATTCTGGACCCGGAAGGTGTAGCAGCTGGAGATGACGTCGCAAGTGAATAAGTAAGTTTATTCAGGTACAGGTACACATAAATACAGTTACATAATAATACATAGCAGCATATGTGTAGATTACCTAGGATGTCCCAAAAAAGTCAAAGTGATTTATTTACATTGGGGCCCACTAGTGGAAGTAGGTCATGATACACAGTGGTTAGCAGTAGAGATGCAGACATCGTCTGTACCAAGATACCATACTGTTGCCCAATCGCACAGGCTTCATATAAACAAGCCTGCTGCGCAGGTTAAACGTGTCGTCAGTAAAGATACATGATTGTTGTACACGTGTCTTACTCATGAAGTCTGGCAGGTCCAGGGTTTCTAGGTTACCTGGAGGTTATTCCGGGGATCAACGCCCCCGCGGCCCGGTCCACGACCAGGCCTCCCGATGGATCAGGGCCTGATCAACTAGGCTGTTACTGCTGGCCGCACGCAGTCCGACGTACGAGCCACAGCCCGGCTGATCCGGCACTGACTTTAGGTATCTGTCCAGCTCTCTCTTGAAGGCAGCCAGGGGTTTATTGGCAATTCCCCTAATGCTTGATGGGAGGCTGTTGAACAGTTTTGGGCCCCGGACACTTATGGTGTTTTCTCTTAGTGTACCAATGGCGCCCCTACTTTTTATTGGCGGCATTTTGCATCGCCTGCCCAGTCTTTTACTTTCGTAGGGAGTGATTTCTGTGTGCAGATTTGGGACCATTCCTTCCAAGATTTTCCAAGTGTAGATTATGATATATCTCTCCCTCCTGCGTTCCAACGAGTACAAGTCAAGTGCTTTCAAGCGTTCCCAGTAGTTAAGGTGCTTGACAGAACTTATACGTGCAGTAAAGGATCTCTGTACACTCTCTAGATCTGCGATTTCACCTGCTTTGTATGGAGATGTTAATGTACAGCAGTATTCCAGCCTAGAGAGAACAAGTGATTTGAAAAGGATCATCATGGGCTTGGCATCTCTCGTTTTGAAAGTTCTCATTATCCATCCTATCATTTTCTTTGCACGTGCGATCGTGGCACTGTTGTGATCCTTGAAAGTGAGATCCTCAGACATTACTACTCCCAGGTCCCTTACATTATTTTTCCGCTCTATTGTATGGCCGGAGTCAGTAGTATACTCTGTTCTAGTTATTATCTCCTCCAGTTTTCCATAACGGAGTAGTTGGAATTTGTCCTCATTGAACATCATATTGTTTACCGTTGCCCACTGGAAAACTTTGTTTATATCTTCTTGGAGGTTAACCGCGTCCTCAGCAGATGACAGCCTCATGCAGATCCTAGTATCATCCGCAAAGGCTGATACGGTGCTGTGGTGTATATCTCTGTTTATGTCTGATATGAGGATAAGGAATAAGATGGGGGCGAGTACTGTGCCTTGTGGAACAGAGCTCTTCACTATGGCAGCCTCCTAGAAGTTTGCCACTTGCGCTGTTAGTGGTTTACGTAAGAACATAAGATTTCGTTCGGATTTTTAACTCCGGAGGGTTAGCCACCCAGGATACCCAAAGGAAGTCAGTGCGCCACCGAGGACTGTCAAACTTATTTCCATTGGGGTCCTCACAATCTTGTCCCCCCAGGATGCGACCCACATCAGTCGAATAACACCCGCTGCTAGGTGAACAGGACAATAGGTGAAAGGAAATGCTTCGAAATGTTTTCACCCGCCAGGAAACCAAACCCCGGGCCCTCTGTTGTGAAGCGAGAACTTTATCCACCGGCCAGGGCCAGCACTTCCCACTCTACGGGCTCACACTGGGCGGGTCTTTCTCCAAAAAATCCATCCCGCTCGAAATGCTTCGGATGATGTGGCCATTTTTTAATTATAAAATCAAATTTAAAATTCACATTTTTAACCCTTTTAAACAAAGAAATGAACTTAACTTTATCTACAAAAAGGTCCAAATGCACTAGAAAAAAAAAGAATGCAGATGTAATATATACATTTTTTTTCAAAAGCCTTTCGCAAGTGCGCCATAGAAACCCATCGAATTAAGCAAAAAGAAACCCTTTTAGGAGTCGAATCGGGGGAAGAACAAAAAGCCATAAATGAAATCGAAAGAAACCCAAAGATTTCTTTCCCTTTGCCAAATCAAAATCGAGAAAAACGCCAGTTTTGGGGCCCCTACTTAAAAAAGTGGGCCCTAACAGATGACAGCAAGGAAATGAGTGAGCTCCAAGCCCCAATAGACCAGTTTTGCAAGCCGCTAACCAGACTGGAGTCGAAGATCAAAATGAATTTTTATGAAGACCCAAAAAAATTTGATTAACAAAAAGCCTATCCGAGTTATCCTGGCCAAATGACTTCGAACGGGCGATAAATGACATGCCCATGCACTCTCCCCCAGGCCAGCTCAGGAACCTTTGTTCTAAAGAACTGCAAGAAGCCCCTATCACGAGCCTTTTTCCATCCTTGGAGGGGGAGCATGGACAGGGGGGTCGTCCCCATTTACTAAAAACAAAAAGACATAGTCCCACTCCCAAAGGGGCAGTAAAGCAACAGCAAAAACACAGACCAATAGCACTAATCCCAATCATAAAATCTTTAAAAGGGGTCCTAAAAGCAAACACCACCCACTAGAAACCCATCAGTTACACAACCAGGGAAACATGGGTTTAAAACGGGTCGCCCTGTCTGTCCAACTTTTGGACCACTACGAAAGGTCCAAAATGCACTAAAAAGACAAAAAGAATCAGATGTAATATTACAGACTTTGAAAAAGCCTTCGAAAAGTGTGACCATGGCGAATAGCGACAAATGCTGCAAAAGGGAAAACGGGAAAAGTCGGTCGGGATCATATTTCCTCACAAACAGAAAAAGAGAGTAGTCGTCAACAAGTAAAGTCCGAGCAGCTACGGGAAAAGCCTGTTCCACAAGCACGTACTCGCTCCCATCTTGTACCTCATCCTTATATCCGACATAAAAAGGGAGCCCACAGCACCGTGTCTTCCTTTGCAGTGACACCCGAATCTGCATGACTGTTTTCCCATTGCAGACACGCAAAGCTCCGGGGCAGACATAAACCCAAATTTTTCGGGGCTGAGAAAAAATATGAAGTTAAAACGATGAAAAATTTTTCAATTACTCCGATAGGTAAACTGGGGAAAATTAATTTTCATCAGAGAAACAAAAAAAATTTTGGGCCACAAAATAGAGCGAAACCCCAAACGTCAAAGACCTGGGGGGGGAAATCGTGGAGGATCTCACCTTCAAGGGACCAAACATTGTTAAAATCGCATCTATAAAAAATGAAGGAGGTAAGAGAACCTTAAAAACGGGAGGCCAACCCCATGATGAATTTTCAGGTCTTGCTCTATTAGGCGGGAATTTTGCTGCACACTAACAGACCTTTCAAGAGTAAAATTCCGACCAGAAAATGTAAAAAAACTTTCAGGGGCGCGCATAACGGAGATAAAACACCTCAATTTTTGGGGAGCGCTTGGGGGTTTCCAAACCTGTTTCCGGGAAACGCAGGAGGGAGAGATACATGATTATATACACTGGAAAATCTAGGGGGGACTAGTACCGAATTACACGAAAATCCTCACTACGAAGCAAAAGACTTGGCAGACGAAACACCACCCCCCAATGAAAAGCAGGGGGTCACTAGAAAATAAAAACCCCATCAATAAGTGCAGGGGCCCGAGACTGTTTAACTCCCTCCCGCACACAAAAGGGGGATTCCCAAAGACCCCTGGCAGCTCAGGCTGGCACTGGACAAGCCCCTAAAGCTTTCCCGGATAGCCTGGCTGGGCTCTACGTTGGTTTGCGTGAGCCAGCAGCAACAGCCTGGTTGTCGGGCTCTGCCACCAGGAGGCCTGGTCACAGCCCGGGGCCGCGTGGGCTTTTGCCCCCCCGGACTCCTCCAGGAAACCCCAGGTACCATACCGTCTAATCTTGCTCCATCCTCACCCTCTGATTAAGATGAAGAGCCTTATGGCAGGGAAACGTCTCACCTTAAAACCCCCCCATTTGTTGTACTTT